CCGCTCCGCCGCTGCGCGACCCTCCTCCTCCTCCCCCGTCCTCGTCCTCCGCTCACAACCATCACCATAACAACCACACGTCCCTGCGTGGACGCCACCATCACCACCCTCAGCATCAGCGCTCCGCCGCCGCCGCCGCCTCCTCGTCCTCCCCTCAGCCCAGGTCCGCAGCTAAGTATCTAATCAGCCAATCAGAGGACGTCTGAGGCGGGAAACTAACTTGTAGTTGGTGCGACACATGTCGGAGGTTGTGGGAAAATAAAGTTGTAATATATTTATAAGGTGACAGGGGGCAGCGTTTGAAAACGATGATCAAAAAACAAAAATGAAGTTGTTTTAGTTGTTGTCTCTCCATCAGTGTCTGATGACATCACTGATGACATCACTGACGACACACCACTCGTGACAGGATCGTTCAACCATCATGTTGATTCGGGGGGCAGGAGGGGGCGGGGTTAGTTTAGTGACGTCCACGTTTTGTTTATTTAATGATGTCTAGATGTAAATGATCTCTTCCTGACACTGTACTGTAGATATTTTTGTCACATTTTATATTTTTGTTATTTTTTACTAAAATTAAAAGAAGAAAAACAAATGTTTTCACCGTTTAAAAAGGACCAATCAGAAGACAGGAATTCTGAGCCCAAGAAAATCAGTTCTTCTTCATTTTAGGTTTTCGTCTTTGAGTTACGGTCGCAGTTAAACAAAAAACAAACAAAAACATTTTTACGAACTCACTCTTAGTTTGAGTTTCTGTCACGTTTCTTCAACCGTGCTAACTTTAAACCCCGTTACTGTGTGAATCAAAAACAGTCAATAATAAAAACAACTATACATTTTATTTCATGTTAAGGAAACGACAGACAACAATCATTTTCATTTTTTAACGTTCCGTTCCTGACGACGCTGGTCACATGGTCTGTGTTAACGAAACTTTAACCAAGAGTTAATTTCCTCCCAAATATAAAGAAAAAAGAAAAAACAAAGAACGTTCAGTGACGATTTCTCACAGCTTGGAGTTTGAAACGTCATAAAAATGAAACATCGGGTTCTTGTTTTTCCAGTTCACAGGAGAGTGGACCCGACGTCAGCTGTTTCTGGATTACAGTTTCTAATTTAAATATATTTTAAAAATCTTGATAAAAATGTAAATAAATGTTTGTAATTTTCTCCTGGAAAAATAAAAAACATTTGACCAAGAATTAAAAATCTCCTGTCAGTATTTTTGACTGTTTTGTTCTTTTTCACGAACTTAAATCTGGAACTTTAACAACAACGTCAGGACCGGAAGTTACGTTAGCTCAGATTAGCAGAGGTTTAATGTCAGGACCGGAAGTTACGTTGGTACCAGGAACCAGAAGCAAGTTTCTCACAGGAACTCTCGTTGGTAACGTTCTGTAGAAAGCGCGAACGTCACGTGACCGTCTTCATATCGTCTCTTCATCCACGACGTTAGCTCAGATTAGCAGAGGTTTAATCCCGAGTTTCTAATAAAAAGAATAGATGTATGTGTGTGTTCTCTGATGTTTAACACCTGGTTGGTCCACGACAGGTGGTCAAACATGTGGGGCAGATGGACACGTTCTCTCTGATTGGTCTGTCGGGGGTGGAGAGGGGGGTCGTGGGGGTNGACAGATGGCGTTCGGTCGGATGGTGGTTTATCTGTGAACTGTGAGTTCAGGTTAACAACGACCTCAACCAGGAACCGTATGACGTATAACGTGTCCGTTATTGTTATTGTTGTATGTGTTACGTCGAAAACTAGGACTGTGTAGTATCTGAACTGTAGTACTGTAGTACTCGTCTCTCTGGAGGCAGGACTACAACAGATTAAAACTCGCAGCTGTTTTGTTAAAAAAAAGAAAAGAAAATCACATGTCAGTGACGTCACCCTCTCTCTCTCTCCCCCTCCCTCTCTCTCTCTCTCTGTTGTTCCCCGTTTCCCCAGGCTAACGGCTAGCTCGGTCTGTCCTGTTGTTCTCTGTGGTCCAGGGTCGGGGTGGATTGACTCGGTTCTGAGGGTCCACGGTGTCGGAGCAGTAACTCCAGGACGACACGAGCCTGCCGTTAGCACCGTTAGCTTCTTTCTGTTTATTCCTTCGGTAGCGGCGGCTTAGCTTCAGCGCTAACTCCTCTGTAATTACCGTTAGCGCTCGCTGCTCGTGTCGTTAGACCAAAGCGTCGCAGTTGCGGGAACATGTAACGATCCAGAACCAGGTTGTTCTCACGGCCGAATGTCGTCCTCACTCTGCGGGACTCGTCCGTCTGTCGCAGCTAATGTTAGCTGTTAGCAGCTCTTTGTTTCCGTTAACAACAGCTGAGGAGCTAATGATGCTCTGTTAGCAGACTGAACATCAGCAGGATTTAGACCGGAGCCTGGACCGGACCGGACCCGGACCCGGACCACTGTAGACCCGGACCAGATGTTACATTAACACCAGTCTGGTTTTTAGTTCGTTCTGGTCTCGGTTCATTTTTGTACTAATTAACTGCTGACATGATTCTGTGACATCACTCGCCCTCACAAGGCACGATGACGTCAGGCTACGTCACCTACCTGTTCCTACTCTCAGGTGAGTTTATGGCCTTACAGTCCAGTACTAATACTGGGCCACGGGCCACGGGTTGGTGGGGATTTGTATTGTTTTTGGTGTCGTCGTGGTGTTGTTGAACAAATCTGCACTCATTATCTTTGCTTTCCCAGGATGCATTTCTGCTGCTCAGAAGAGTGACAATGTCTACGTATCAGGGATCTCCAGTGGTAAGGTCAAAGTTCACGCAGCACGGGTGCAGTTGTTGTCAGTGTTGGTGTCTGGCGTGGCTGACGTTGTCCCCTGTGTGTGACCGTCAGCCTGCAGTGATGGAGCCCAGCTCCTCCGCTCCTCCTCCGGGGTCATCAGCACGCCGGGCTGGCCCTTCCAGTATCCTGCCCGCCTCAACTGCAGCTGGAACATCAGAGCTCAGCCTGGGGACACCATCACCATCAGGTCAGACACCGGTGATGAAGATGAAGATGATGATGAAGGTTTGTCCAAACACAGACCTCCAGATCTGAAAGAAAAGCCTTTTTTTTTGTTTTTTTTTGTCCAGTTTCCAGGACTTTGACCTGCAGGGCTCTCACCGCTGCTCCTCAGACTGGATGTCCATCAGCAGCTACAGGAGTCTGGACGGACTCAGGGTGTGTGGCTCCTCCCTGCCTCCACCCTACGTCTCCACCCAGGACCACGTCTGGATCCACTTCCACTCCGACAGCACGCTGACGGGAAAAGCCTTCAGACTTTCCTACGTCTCAGGTGATGGATGTTCAGGGGAGGACGGGGGAGGGACGGGGGGGGGGGGGGGCCGCCCCCCCCCCCCCCCCCCACAGTTCTGATGGCAACAGACTCTAACTAAGCGCTGCTCTGTGGCTGCAGGGAAACCTGAGGTGCCCAGCTGTGACGTGGACCAGTACCACTGCTCCAATGGGAAGTGCATCCCAGACTGGTGGCGCTGTAACTCCATGGACGAGTGCGGGGACAACTCAGATGAGGAGCTGTGCGTGGACTCGCCCTTCTCCTTTCAGCCTTGTGGACTCAACCAGTTCCCCTGCCTGTCCCGCTACACCCGCATCTACACCTGCCTGCCCCACAGCCTGCGCTGCGACGGCAGCATCGACTGTCAGGTCAGTGCGCCGCCATGTTTGTTCGTCAGAGATTTTAGTTCAGACCAAAGTCCATTTAGTCCCAACCACATTTGAAAGCTGCCTCAGGCCACGCCCACTGCAGCCCTTCACCTGACACACACCCCGCCTTCATCTACGCCTCTGATTTTGCGTCTCCTTGTTCAGGATCTGGGAGACGAGATCGACTGTGAGGTTCCCACCTGTGGAGAATGGCTGAGGAACTTCTACGGTTCCTTCACTTCTCCAAACTACCCCGACTTCTACCCTCCAGGAAGTAACTGCACCTGGCTGATTGACACCGGAGACCACCGGAAGGTCGACTGACTGACTGACCGACTGTCGTCGTTTCCCCGGTCCATTCTGCGTCCCTGCAGTTCCTAAAGTCCTCTCGCTCTCTCTCGCCCCCTGCAGGTCATCCTAAGGTTCATCGACTTCAAACTGGACGGCACCGGTTACGGCGACTACGTCAAAGTGTACGACGGACTGGAGGAGAACCCGCGCCGCCTCCTCAGGGTTCTAACTGCGTTCGACTCCAGAGCCCCGGTGGCCGTGGTGTCGTCATCGGGTCAGCTGAGGGTTCACTTCTACGCCGACAAGATCAACGCCGCCCGGGGCTTCAACGTGACCTACCAGGTACGTCCGGGTAACCTGATGGACGGAGACCGTGGTTCTGGTTTGGTCTTTCATCTCTCTCTCTGTCTCTCTGTCTCTCTCTAAGGTGGACGGGTTCTGTCTTCCGTGGGAGGTTCCGTGTGGGGGGAACTGGGGCTGTTACACGGAGCAGCAGCGCTGCGACGGTTACTGGCACTGTCCCAATGGTCGGGACGAGCTCAACTGTTCCTCCTGTCAGGTGGACGAGTTCCCCTGTTCAAGGAACGGAGCCTGTTACCCCCGCTCCGACCGCTGCAACTACCAGAACCGCTGCCCCAATGGTTCCGACGAGAAGAACTGTTTCTTCTGTCAGCCCGGAAACTTCCACTGCAAGGTACAGAGACAGGGTCGACAGAATGTCGGTGGTTGAAGTCTGAGACACGGGTCACGTGACCTCTTCCTGTTGATGCCCCCGCAGAACAACCGCTGCGTGTTCGAGTCCTGGGTCTGTGACGCTCAGGACGACTGTGGTGACGGCAGCGATGAGGAGAGTTGTCCGGTCATCGTCCCCACCCGGGTCATCACCGCAGCCGTCATCGGCAGCCTGATCTGTGGCCTCCTGCTGGTGATCGCGCTCGGTTGCACCTGCAAACTCTACTCTCTGAGGATGTTTGAGAGACGGTGAGGACGACGGGGACTGGAGACGGAACGCTCACTGCTTCGATCAGTGGTTACGGTTCAAACCTCTGTACTGACCTGAGCTCTGTGATTGGTCCATTTCAGGTCCTTCGAGACTCAACTGTCCAGAGTAGAGGCAGAACTTCTGAGGCGAGAGGCTCCGCCCTCTTATGGTCAGTTGATTGCCCAGGGTTTGATCCCCCCGGTGGAGGATTTCCCAGTGTGCTCTGGGAGTCAGGTAAAGTGTCTGTGTAGCGCCACAGCGCCACACCCTGGTCGTCCTCATGTCTGTTGTTTTCATCAGTTTGTCTGCTCTCCTCAGGCCTCAGTCCTGGAGAACCTCCGTCTGGCCGTTCGCTCCCAGCTGGGTTTCACCTCCCTACGTCTTCCTGCCTCCAGTCGGAATGCCACCCTGTGGCGCCGCCTCTTCACCTTTTCCCGCTCCCGGCGCTCTGGTTCCCTGGCGTTGGTGTCAGCTGACCTGGAGGACAGCGCAGGCTCCGGGAGCACCGGAAGTTCTGCCTCCGACCTGCTGTCCCCGGACTCAGAAACGGACACAGACACGGAGGGTGAGCGAGGGAGAGAGCGAGGAGTCGGTGCTGTGGGCGGAGCTGTGGCACCGTTGCCTCACAAAGCCCCGCCCCCCTCCTCTGCTGTGGAGGCCGCGCCCACGACTGCTACTCCGACAACACCGATACCGAGCAGGAACCGGGGACCGGGAGATGGATCCAGAGAAACCCCGCCCCCCCCCAGCCCAGTGGCTCTGCCGTCGGCCAATAGAGATCCAGAATGTCACAGTGACGCAGCTTCAGAGCTTCAAGCCCCTCCCTCCTCCGCCCTGCAACGCCTGGCCAGCGGCCTGCAACGCCTGGCCCGGAACTTGACAAGAACCAGTCAGAATCAGCAGAACCGAGTGTGGACCAATCACAGCCCGCTACGTCAGCTGGAGGCGGGGCGACATGGAGCCGATTCCCCGGAACGCAGAGGAAGTGGAGACGACGAGGAAGACGTGGAACTGCTGATCCCGTCCTCGGACTCTGATTCTGCCTCGTCCTCATTGGTCGATGACATCCAGCAGCCGCTGCTGGAGCCCCACCCCTCGGCCCCCGTCGGCCGTTCTCACCACCATCACAGTCGGAGATCACGGAACGGTCCCTGCGAACACTGTGGGATGGTTCACACGGCCCAGATTCCTGACGCCTGTCTGTGGGCTACGACCAAAACAGAGAGCAGGGAACAGAGTGACGATGAGCTGCTGCTGCTCTGCTAACAGGTTAGCAGGCTAATGTTAGTGCTAACCATGCTAACGCTTGGTACGACTAGGAGAATCGTCCTATGGTTAGCTGGCTTGCTAACTGAGGCTACTACTATTACTGTAAAACCTACCTAATGACTCATTAGCTAATAGGCTAATGGACCAGCTAATAGAGAAAAAACATGACTGATATTAAAAAAAACCGGCCAACAGGCTAACAACGGGGCTGGAATTACTAACGCGTACGGTACTACTTCAAATACGATCCAGAGTTAGCTCAGATATGGGCGCAACTACTGCTACTGAAGCTCTGTCCTTGTAACGACAGTTAGCTAACATGCTGACAACTACGCTAACAGACACTAATACCTAACCTTAACGACAGGCTAATGTCGATGGTACTTTGTCACAACTTTGAAAATCAATATAAAAACATTTCATGGCAAGTCCGCCTGCTAACATTTCTAGCGCGGCGGACTGCTGTTGAAGTTTTAACTCTAACCATTTCATTAAGTATTAGCACATTGGCTACTGCTAACATAGATGCTAGTTTTAAAACAAATGTGAACAATAACAAAAGCTAGCCAATATTTTGACATTTCAAGCAACTGTGCTAGCAAAGATACAAACAAAAATGTCAAAAAACATACTCCAGTCAGCTAGCATTTCAAACTTGGCAGCACCGAACAGCAGCAATCGTAGCATGTTACTCAGTACGCTAACATTACAAACTGGGTAGCAGTCGGCTATGACCTGTTTACTTGATTTGAGTTAGCAAAAATGCTAACAATACAATCCTTGTCAAGGCTAACTTTTGATGCGACTGAAGAAATGTTGTCAAGTATGTTTACATTTCAACATGTTCAAAAGTTTAGTTTTGCTTAAATGACTGTAAAGACTGCTAGCCAACCTGCTAACATTTCACACGTCGCAGCAACCTGACCTTAGTTAGCTGCTCTAGAGAAAACAGTAAGCCATACAAACACTGTTAGTACGTGTTAGCATGTTAGCTGGACTACAACTTGTTGATCAGGTTTGTGACATGAAAAAACAGCTGAACCAATCAAGGACTGAGGGAATATGATGTCACTGATTGGTCAGTCCAACTGACGTTCCCGTAGTCTGTCCTTGAAGACATTCCCCACTTCCTGTTTGGTACGATGTTTGGAAAGGCTAACTTCTTGGTTTGAGAGTCGGCGGTTGATGATGTCATCGTATTCCGTTTTCATTAATGGAACCGTGAGGTAATGATGTCCGTCACCCACGTCCAATGTCCACTAGGTGGTGATGTAGGTAGCTAACCACAACACCTACTAGCAGACTGACCTTGTACAGCCTGATTCTCACGGTACGATAATTATTTTACACTAATATTTATTGACCTTCGAGGGTTAAAACACCATCACATTACGTTTGTTTTTTGGCTAATCCGATCTGGTTCCTAGCCACAAGATGACCGCCGATGCTCATGTCCCAGTTCCGCTAGTGATTCGTTAGCTCACGTTAGTGTTTATAATAACGGTACAGTTACTAACGTAATCAAACATAATTCACGATAAAAAAAACCCTTATCACATGGTCACGCCTCCTCAGACTCCGCCTCCTCAGACTCCGCCTCCTCAGACTCCGCCTCCTCATTCGCGAACGCTGTTGTCAACCAGCAGTTTCTCACCACTGGTATTAAAAAAAGGACGAGGCTACAGTTTACGCGCAGGTGTCGGGAACCACAGACAGCCAATCCGATGTGAGGCTTTTCAAGCCCTGCCCCCTGGACTGGAGCCAATCAGACGGTCCGATGTGTTTTTCTTTGTTCTTGTTTTGGTACAGTCTGCTGTGTGAGTGTGACTCTGTATTTATTATTATTGTTATTGTAATTATAATAATTATGGTACGACGTTCCTTTGTTCTGTCGATGTTGTGTATTTTTTCCGAGCTGCATGACTCCGTGGTTTGGTGTTAGCGTGGTTATTTTTTCTAAAGATTAAAATGGTTAAACTGCCCCAGAGATGAAGATTTATATTTACGTCGTCCAGACGTTGGTCTGAGGCAGAAACAAGTTCTTTGGAATTCTTTGGCTAACTTCTAGCTTCTACGCTAACGTTTCACATGTATTTTGGCGATCTTCAGACATATCTTACAATTGTAGCTAATTTGTTGGTAATTCCCGTCATCCTGAGGTTGGATGACTGGAACTCGTTTACGTAACGACACTTCACGTCATTTCTAAACATTAATGTTCTGTAATTCCCCTGATACACCACTAGCTGTCCCGTGGTGACATGGAGCAGGTGGAACTTCCCTTGATCTCAGTTCCTTTGATACATCACAGTTCCTGTTGCAACAGTTCCTGTCCACTGATTTGGCAAATAATGACCCGCAAAAGAGTCGGAGAACAAACAAGCACAAGGATCCACAGGGGGCAGTAATGCACCCTAAAATAACCAAAAACCTTAACAGTCAGAGGAACAGGAAATGATGCAACTACTGTGTTAAACTGGGGGACAGTGGCCCTCTCATGGTCCTTGGTCAGAACAGTCACCAGGTTGGAGCTGCCAGCACCGACTGAGTTCGTCCAATCAGGTTTCACTGAAGGTCTTGGTGACGGTGGTCAAACGTCAGTAGTCTGGTTGTCAGCTGTCACTGGGTCTTAGGTGAGAGCAGTACCCAGCTTCTCCACTGGGGGGCTCTGAGTCCTCCAACATCTCAGACCAAATGCTGGACCTGATGACACCAGAGGTCACCGGTGCTGTCAATCTATGGCTGGACCACATAAAGCTGCCACAGGGGGCGCTAAAAGTTCATTTAAAGCACCCAAAGGAAATGATGGAGCTCTTCTCTGATTTACAGAAGTCGGAGGCAAAAAGAACTCCTGAACCTGTGGCGTCCACGTGTTGGCTTTCAGACTCTGGCTTGAATCGGCGATCCGACAACCTGACGGACCACGTGAAATTACACAAACGAGACCGGATCTTCATCACCATGTTCCTGTCCCTGCTGGTGTGTGATGTCCTGGCCTCTAAGGCTCAGGGACACGAGGTGGACTTTGAAGGGATGCTGCAACGTCTGCAGGAGGAGACGGTGGGAAAACTGGGTTCCCGTCTCCCCAACCTCAGGAGGTTTGAGACGGCCGTTCACAGGAGCCTCTGCTCAGAGTTCGGATCAGCAAAGGACGTTCAGGACGCACTGCTGTACAAACGGCACTTCTTTGAGGAGGCAGTGAAAAGAATATTTAGAGAGAAAGTTCAGGAACGTGGAGGAGAAGTGTTCCAGCGGGTCAGGAGCTTCTTAAACAGGAGGACCAGCAGAATATTTCCAGCAGAAGTGGACGATGAACTCTTACTGGAGACGGTCCAAGTCTCTGCTTCTGAGTCGCTGTGAGCTGGGGTCGAACTGGGGGTAAAACGCCGGGTTTGACCCACTTTGTAATGGAAACGTGGTCATACGATTACTTGCATCTCCCTTATGTGACCAGCAGGTGGCGTCTGAATTACTAGCAGCTGGCGGCGACAGAAAGAACACAACCCAGAGAACACAACCAAGAACTGATGGAGTTTTCCAGAGTTTTATTTATTCTCAAAAGTTACTTCCTGTTTCCATTTTAATGCAAAAGCCGCAGTGAAGAAGAGAATCGACGACTGCAACAATAATCCTTTAAATCATCAATTATCACTTTAACTGTAAATAGTAAATACACCGTGAAGTCTTGTGGGAATTTGAAAAAAAAAAGTCTCGTTGTTTGTTGTTACCGTTCGCCAGGCCGGAAGTCGGACGTCAGGTGACGGTGACGGTGACGGTGGTTAATGACTCAACACACAGGCGTTGACAGTGTCAGAGGACGGTGAACCTTCAGAGATGACCGGAGAACGTACCAGGGGTTCAAACACTTTAAATATCTGAAACAATTGGTTCGGTTTAACTCCGGGATGTTTCTGTTCGGCCGATGCTAACGCGGCTAGGCTACCGTGTGGTCACGTGACTCGGTTTAATGACGTCTGTTACGTCCTCCACCGACTTGCTGTGTATCCTGTTTCAGCGCCTTTATTTACCGACGTTACGGCTCTTTACCCTGAAACGATGTAGTCATTTTATCACACGAGACTCGTTGGACGGAACTGGTTTAGACTAGATTGGACTGGAAGACACGGGACCGTAGAGCTGTGGAATAGGACGACGTATTTGTGTACACTTCATCATATAATGTTTTATTTCGAGTTTTTGTTTTGTGTTGTTTAATCCTGAGAAGATTGAATTAAAAAGATCAAAAACTGTTCATAAACAACGTCAACGCTGTGTTTGTTGTTACTTCTCTCTGACAAGACATTACATTATGGCGGTTTGTCGCCTCCTGGTGGTCCTCACTTCATTTGCAGCACTAACTTTAGCTCTGTCATCAGCTGATCTTTGGTTGTGCGTGATGACGTCACGGCCCCTCTGTCTATGGAGGATTTATTGATTTTCTCTCTTCGTCTGCTCCTCCATTATCACCACCAGCAGCGTCAGTGGGACATCGTCAGCCCTGCAGCCGCACTAGGAGGCCTGAGACCCGGGCAGCAGCCATGACCACCGCCGCCATCGGCAGGGACTGGCAGCGGGAGAGGGAGAGACAGCGGAGCCGCTGCCGCTGAAACCCGGAGGAGGCGTCATGACTGCGGCATAGAGAGGCAAGAGGTGCGGGGCGGAGGGCGGATGGATGGGTGGATGGATGGACTCAGTGATGGGTGGATGGATGGACTCAGTGATGGGTGGATGGATGGACTCAGTGATGGGTGGATGGATGGACTCAGTGATGGGTGGATGGATGGACTCAGTGATGGGTGGATGGATGGACTCAGTGATGGGTGGATGGATGGACTCAGTGATGGGTGGATGGATGGACTCAGTGATGGGTGGATGGATGGACTCAGTGATGGGTGGATGGATGGACTCAGTGATGGGTGGATGGATGAGTGGATGGATATGAAAGGTGCTCACATAAACAGGCAGGTGTTCGAAAGCCGTGATGGCGGACGCAGGTGCGGCCACGGTCTCGGCTCCGTGTCCGCCCGTCGTCGCAGCTCGGCGGCCGCGGCAACGAGCACCAGCCGCTGGTGGAGGAAGAACGTGTTCCCAGTCTGAGCAGCATCTTCATCATCGTCATCATCGTGGTCTTCATCTTCTTCATCGCGGTTTCTCTTCTCCTCAGAGCCGCTCACACAGAATGTCTGGCATGGCTGGACCTGCACTGCCGACCAGGACTGGGTTTGGACCGGGACCCGGACCGGGACCCATGCCGGACATGCCCGACCTGAGCCACCTGACCGAGGAGGAGCGTAGAATCATCTTGTCAGTCATGGAGAGACAGAAGAAGGAGGAGGAGAAGGAGCAGAGCATGCTGAAGTAAGAAGAAGCTGAAGTTAGGAGATAGGTAGAATATACAGGAA